ATTCATGACTGTAAATGATTGAAAGAAGGAATAATTGCTACATCAAATATTCATCGAAATCATATAAAGATTGAAGGATCTCTAAATTTTGCTTGGAAGATTGTAATGGATTCTCAACAAGTCTTCTAACAATCTTCAAGGTGAAAAACTTTTTCACGGCTTTGTTCATTTTAAGAACTTCTTTCTGTAAAGGAACTGGGACGCTTCCAAGGGTTTCTTAGTATTTAAAGGGAAACGAATTCGTAAAGGACGTTGACAGCGAAATCTTAAAAGATAGTGAGAGCTTAAATTATATTTGTTAAACTTACGCAATATCTACATATCTTTGCATTTGACTTGTAGTCTTATGAGCGTTATTGCCAAGTCTGCAAGTATTGGGATCCAGAGCGTCTGTTTGACTTCACCTAATTAAGATACCATTTTCAGACGAAGGACACAAACGCGTGCGTACCGCCAAGGCTGAAGGTTTATATAGTGAGAGTCACTCACAGGCCGGAATGTTTTGTGTAATTAAGCCTAAAATCCCCCCCCATAATAATACTGAAATATAAAAGCGTTGTTCAATATTGTTCTGTATATTATACGAACGGCATATGTTTCATATATTTCGTATTAATATTTTTTTTTCAGCCACTTTCTGCTTAAGTACAAGTTTTTAAACATTTTATTGTAAGAATTTGTAAAAGTCGACCTTGTAAGAAAAGTAAGAAAGAATAAACAAATTTTGTCTACCAGATCTAATTATCCATAAAAAACTAGACTGAAAACCCAAATCAAATGCTTTAGCAAAAATAAATCTCTCATCTTCTCTATAAACAAACACCACATGTTCTTTTCAAGGGCAGTCGTAAAGCACTCAATTCGGAAACATTCCTTTCCCCTTATGTTTATAAAACAAAAACCAGTTCTAAGTGAGTAATATTTCTCTCATTTCGAGTAAAAGGTCAGATCTCCATGTATCTCAAATCTTATGGACATAGAATGCCATCTATTGCCGAAAAAACTTAGCTTAAAAAAACGTTCCAGGTTCCTGGCGCACCGGTTAGTCATTAGACCAGTGAGGAAGGAAGACGCTGGCTCACGGGTGAGACACTCATCTTGTGACGGTGTTTCATGCCAGCGGACGGGTGAGACGTTCGTCCCGAAGGGGTTAAGATAAGTTATAGAGAAGAATCGGGTATTATGGAATAGTTGGATAATGTGGAATACCGAGGCTTTGGATCTGTTTGTAGCTGTTAATGCGTAAGAAAACCTTTGACTACTGAAAACAGACCCTCGCGATGCATTGCAGTGAGAATCGATCATTTGTTGTTGCCTTACAAGTGCCACTACACAACAAAGTGTGTTTTACGATTTTCAGAAGTTTTTGCCTTAAGTTTTCAAACACTTTAACCTTCTAGTAGACATGTGACTTGAACTTAAAAGATGAGCATAATTTACACTAAAAGGATTGTAGTTTGTAACACTGTGTTTGTTTTTTTTGCTTACTTCCTTCAGTTTAAAGGTTGATTTTTCAAGATAGCGTGTGTCTGGTATTGTGGAATACTAGATATTTTATAATACCAGACATTCCATTCTGATGTATCATTTATGATATATTTCATTAGATCAACTAAAGAATCAGAAAAAAAAGCTGAATGTACCTTTGGTAATGGATAATTCTCCGAAGGTCAATGAGGGATTTCATTCAAATTCTTCAGCTGTTTTCTGTAGGCTCGCCTTGATTGTCTTGGACTGTGGCTATCGTTCATAAATTCGAAGCTGAAATGACTTTCATGTATTCTTAAAATAATGCTTTATAGTTAGAAGTAAATACGTATTATGAAGCCTCAATTGGTTTTCTAATGGCTTAAGCCACCTGTTCAGTGTACGTGTATGAAATTGTAAAGCGCCCTCTAGCGCTCATAGTGATTCAGTGTACTCTTAGACTCCAACGAGTGAGGAGTCTGAGTCGAGTAGTTCCGAGAGAATAAAAATCAGTCCATGAAGGAGAGCTTTTATTTCAACGTGTGTGTGTCTCTCTTTAACTGAGCTATCGACGACCCCACACCACCTATTCCATATTTTACCATATATTCCATATTTTCCATATATTCCATAATACCCTCCATTTATCATTTTTATTTAAAATAATTTTTTATAACAACAAAGTAAAATATTTGTTGACAAGTGATAATTCCTAACAATCGGGCATAGTATATATCTATGATGGTCTTAGAGATTTTTATCAAAAACTAGTCACGTTATTTTTAGAAATGTAAATTGTATTCTATAATACTTGACTCTCATCTACTAATTAGTATTAATTGGGATTTTATGGCCGTCTGTAGCCTAGTGATTTCAGCATCGGACTCCAGAAGCTCCAGATCGGTACGATGCCCCCAAATAACCTCCGAGTACACGAGGAGTACGTGCTCGTTAAATCAGTGGGTTCGAAAGTCTTGTGGGTGTTCGTAGTAGAAACCACGAGTGCAGGGGGCTGGAGAAAATTTCCCTCCCCTCCAGTTCCATGCCTAAATTGTGGAGGGGAATTAGGTGGTGACGCCATCTATCGTTAAGAAGTCCAACCTGTCTCACGGGCTTTGGCACTTTTATTCCTTCCCTTCGGAAGGACGCGACAACAACAACAATTAGGATTAACTCGCGGTTTTATTTGTTATACTGCGACCATATCAGATTGTGAATAATCTTAAATGAAAGTTGTTGATTACAACGTGCCTCATCCTTCCGTTGCTCCTCTCAGACCTGTGGTAGTTGTCTCACTGACATAGTGATTATGATCACGAACTCGTGGCCAACAGGTCATCAGTTCTAACGTTAGTGCCCCTAAAATCCCTTCATGAAGTGGGACTGATTCGCGTTCAATCCATCTTGGCTTGAAATCCTTCCCGTGGTGTGGTGTTATAGTTTGGAAAGGAGGCTTCCAGTTCAGGTGTCGTCTTCGTCACTTGACTATGGTACAGAATTTCGAGGTCCGTCTCCAATAGCACTTGTGTTGCTTTATAGTGCGACGTTAATAAACACTCACTCAGATTGATAATGAACCTGAGTTTACCACAAACTTAAGAATCAAAATAAACTTGATGAATGAGAATGTATTCCAATTTTTACACACTTACAGTATCCGACTACCCTAAAAATTGTGAGTTTTACCAAAAATTGGCATATTTTTTTATGATTTTGTTTTGTATACCATTTTATTAGCTTTATAAAAATACCAAGTTTATTATTTTCCGTTCACTAGAACAAACACTACAAGTGTTTTAGTAAAAGCAGAGGCCATTACTTTAAGCAAGATATGTCATACTTTAAAATGCGTTTTACTCGAAATGTGTTTTTTTTTTAAATGCTCAAACAAGGATAGCGATTGTTCAAAAAGTTTTGAAGATAGAAGTGTTTTAACCTTCAGATTTATTAATCACTGTTTTATTACAAAATTTAGTCCCTTATGTTGATATAATCAATGTTTTTATAGGCAGTTTCATATAACTAAGATAAAGTACTTCCAGTTTTTATAAAAGTTAAAATATCTCTTACCCTAAAGGTATTTAAAAAAATAAATAACATAGCAACACATCAGAATTGAAAAATGGAAAAATTTGTTCATAAACTTTGGGTACAGAATGGGCCCTGTTTATGTTATTTTTTTTGTAAATTTGTACCCCTTTTTTCCCATTTCATTAAAAATAATTTATTTTTATCTTTTTAATTTTAGCATATTTTTCTTAAAATTTACTAAGCAAATCTAAAAACCACAAAAAAAACCCATATCTCCATTTTTTTTTTTAAAGAAAGTTGTCGCAAATTGTCGGATATCTTAAAGAAATTATCTCTGTAAATAAAATTGTCAGCAGTTTTCATATTCTCAATATTTTTTAACTTAATTTGTTAAACGTGATGTTATAGTAGGCGCACGAGAGATGGGACATAACATTCCGAGGTAACCATGAAATTTGGATTTTCACGTACGTCCATTTCACGAGTATACAATGAATTTTGGGAATCCGGTAAAACATCAAATATAAGACATCTCTGTGGCCGGAAAAAGATCGTGCAAGAATGGGTCCAACGAAGACTGACGAGAATCATTAAACTTGACAGACGTGCAACCCTTACGCAAACTGCTGCAGATATTAATGCTGGGCCATCAACAAGTATCACCGTGCAAAACATTCAATGAAACCTCCTCGATATGGGCTTTCGAAGCCGAAAACTCCCTTCTTGTACCCTTGTTGACTGCACGACACAAAGCTTTACGCCTCGCCTGGGCTCGTCAGTACCAACATTGGACTGTTGATGACTGGAAACACGTTGTCTGGTTTGACGAGTCTCATTTCCAATTGAACCGAGCTGACGTTGTGCGGTGTACAGGTATAGAGGCAACCTCATGAATCCATGGACCCTACATCTCAACAATGGACTGTTCAAGCTGGTAGAAGCTTTGTGAAGGTATGGGGCGTGTGCAGTTGGCGTGATATGGGACCCCTGATACGTCTAGACAGGTAGCAGGTACGTAAGCCTCCTGTTTGATCCCCTGCACCCATTCATGTCCATTGTGCATTCCAACGGACTTGGATTTCAGCAGGACAATGCGATACCCCACACGCCCAGAATGGCTCCAGGAGCACTCTTTTGAATTTAGACACTTCCGCTGGCCACCAAAGTCCCCAGACATAAACATTGTTGAATATATCTGGGATGCCTTGCAAAGTGCTGTTTTGAAGAGATCTCTACCATCTCTTACTTCTACTGATTTATGGACCGACGTGCAGGATTCATAGTGTAAATTATCTCCCCCACTACCTCCAACATTAATCGAATACCTACCACGTCATGTTGCGAAACCTCTGCCAGCTCGTGGGGCCCTACACGATATTAGGCAGGTGTACCAGTTTTTTTGGCTCTTCAGTGTAACAGAAGGGGTGCGCTGCTTTTCATTCGAGACGGAATCCATTTCAGGCGAAAGTTCGACTTCTTTCCCAAAGAAGATTCATCCATGTTGTTGCGGGTTTCGAACCCGAGCCCACTCGGTTACAAGCCGAGGGCCATATCCACAATACTGCCTAGGCGGCATGAAAAGTTTTACAAGATTATAAAGATTTTTTCCTTCTTTAGAATTAAATGTTTTCAATTTTCTTCTAAATCTTGTTTAATCACTTCTAGATTATTTATAAAAACAAAAATTCAAATTTTTTAGCAAAAAAAATTTGCATGTATATGTTTATCCTAAATATATATTGATATTCTTAATTTATATGATTTTTTTACATAGATATTCTTAACTTCTCTTGCCCTTTTATTTTGTTATACCATGATTTATTACATTTAAAAAAAGAAAAACTATTTTTCAAAGTATTCTCAAATGAGAAAATCAATACTAAACATCTTAAAGACGACTTACAACCAACTTTATTTTAATTTAAGATAAACTTCATAAAAATTTCTGGACTAAAAGACATGTAACAATTTTAATTTGGTATTGTCAAACATTCTAATTTTAAGAGTTTTAATCTTTTCTTGTATTGTGTCCCTTTTAAAACCCTTTAATATGTATTAGTCATTCAGTTCTCACACAGGAACAAGTTACAAGGTAATGTTTAAGCTCTTCATGCTACATTTAGAATTGTATGCATTAACATTTAAAACAGCTTCAAAGTAATTAAAGAAAATAATGAGTACAACCGCACAAAATGCTTACTTAAAGAATAAATCCTTTCAAGTTTTCCTTTATTTAAACGTCTTCTCTTAACTTTAAAATTCCAGTAATTTTCTTCTAGGAAAGAACTGAAACCTTAGCCTTAATTTAAGCCTCTTTCAAAACTAACTTTTCTGTTCTAGAACTTAAAGCAGTTTCTCTTCAGGAAAAAAAATCCCCGATCCCTGTTTAACTTTTTATAAACCTACTTGTTTAACCAACAGCAATTTTCATCTCACAGTTTAATTTTTATATATTGGAAAGCAAATTTATCGAGAAACTTAATCAGCCATAGCGGAAGAAAATAAAGTTTTGTTAAACCGAACTAACTTTTTAAAAGTGTTTTAAAGGGCAAATGAATTTGAGTTTAACACCTCAATTAGAAGCATACCTCGATTACTTAGAGTAGCTGATTTTCCGCATAAAAAACGAAGGGCGTTTCCTGTTATACATATGCAATCAGACCCCTGATTAACGTACCCCTATTTAACGAATTTTTCTCTCCCCGCGATTAAAATAAGGACAGAAAAATCCTATTTAATGAATAATAAACCCCAAATTAACGAATCATTTCAGCAGCTGGATACTTTTTTTATTATTATTTTGTATTAGGAAAAGTTGGATTTTTTTTCTAATGACGTATCCTTTTTGTCTTGAACAGAATACTTTTCTCGTAAACAGCTAATTTCAAAGGGAAAGGGTGAAGACCATTATTAAACTATACAGTGTAACGTTTCCCGCCACACAGTTGTAAATCGGCTTCTTTTTGTGGATATGATCACCACGTTCAATGAACACCTTAAAATATTGAGCTGTCTTGTCTTGGACATCGTGGAACTTTAGACACCCCGAGGAATTTTCCCCTACTCCGCCCACGAACTGGATGTAACTCGAGAATATAGTGACCGATCGCTATCATTCTAGAGATCTAGACCGATCGCTAGATCCTAGAGAGAGAGAGAGAGAGAGTTAGAGAGAGAGAGAGAGAGTTAGAGAGAGAGAGTTAGAGAGAGAGAGAGTTAGAGAGAGAGAGAGTTAGAGAGAGATAGTTAGAGAGAGAGTTAGAGAGAGAGTTAGAGAGAGAGAGTTAGAGAGAGAGTTAGAGAGAGAGAGTTAGAGAGAGAAGAGAGAGAGTTAGAGAGAGAGAGTTGGAGAGAAGAGAGAGAGTTAGAGAGAGAGAGTTAGAGAGAGAGAGTTAGAGAGAGAGAGGTATATGGTTGGAAACTTTCGTAGAGGCTGGACGTGACCTCCTTTCTCGCAAACCACAGAAATTGAACTCTTATGACTCCACAAAATATTTTTAATAACTTCAATATATATTCTACAATTAATAGCTGTGATGTAAATAAACCAAATATTTAAATTAATAAATATTACGATACCTTTATTTATCTCAAATGTCACAACAGGTACAGATGAGTCGATGAGTCATGAGTGTAACCTATCAAGTGAGTCTTGAATAAGACATATAATTCTTTCTTACCTCAACCATCTCAACAACACAGGGGATATTTTAATATTTTAACGATTCTTTTACATTTGATGATAGGCTGCCTATCTGTGCAACTGTAGTTGAGGAAATTATTGATATGTCGCAGCAAATGAATAACAATTCTGATGCAGAAATTGTGTATGAAACTCTTATCAAAACTTTTACATTTTCTGATGCTTTACATTGTTTGGAAACTATGAAAATATACGTCGGACTGCAGTATGTAAATGACACATTATTTTTTTCTCTGCATCATGACGAAAACATTTATTAGTCAGTATTTTAAAATTTTCAATAAACTAGTGCGTAATAATTCCTCTTAGCATTTTTAGCTGTTGAATAAAAAGTATGTAAATTTTTAGCTAAAAAATTTTTTTGGTGTATTGTTGCTTATCATAAGAATTTCCAAAGGATAAGTGCCAAAAGTTTGAATTTTTTTGGACTTCGATATTAAGAATAACCCGAAATAACGAACAAAAGCTCGGTTTGGATGAATTCGTTAATACGGAGTTCATCTGTATATTAGAAAAAAAATTACAAATTTTATTAAATACTGTATAAATAAGAGAAATACTCTGTTAATTTTATTAAAAGTTATCTGCATAGTTAAATTCTAAGCGCTATGTATTAAATTCTTACTTATAGATTGATATAGTTTGGTTTAGTGAAAAAAGTACAATATAAATATATTCATATATTCAAGTATCACATCTACTTTTAATCATCAACATATTAAATTTAAAGTTGACATAACATTAGCTCTTTTAACGTTCTTAACTTATAATTTTTTTAGTAAGACTATTTTATACTTGTTTCTGTGCTAAAACTTGGCCAGTAATGTTGCAGCTTAGAATCTGAATTTGGATCCTGAATCAGGCAATAACTTGCTTATTGTTTTCTGATTCACAATGTGGTCTAAGAATCTTTGAATGTATCTTTAGGTAAGTCATTTTTTACTTATAAAATGGATTTAGAATTTCCATCCATTATTTTCAATGGGATTTCACTCAGTATCATAAACAGAATGTGTGGGGTAGGTTGGCTAGCCATAAAAGTGGTTAAACCCACTTTTATATAAAATTAAAAGCTGTCCTCAGTCAGTGTCGTTTATAATGCTGTAGCGCACGCACGCACGCAAACGTCACATTTCATTTTTTTAAATTTACAATAAAAAAATGAAAAATGATGCAAAATTATCCAGGCTTTATATTGTACTAAAATTATTATTTTAAAAATCATAGATGATAATATCTTTATTTCCAATTTTCTCAAAATGCATTTTTTGGTGATTCCGGTACACTTTTCTCAAATTATACTTTACGTATAGGGCTGAATTTTGCATAATACAAGATTTACAAATTTTGACTAAAGTGAATGAATTTGTTTTCAAAAAAACATTAATAAATTTCAGATACAGCAATCTCTGCATGAAATTTAAAGAGAATTTGAATCACTAAATTAAAATTTTTTTTATATTTATTTTTTAAAAATTAATTTTATTTATTTTATGGATAATTATGTTTGCAAGCACTCTGGAAAATTTTAAAACGATCTATGCAGTGTATTTTATGCAAAGAGTACCTAAATGTAAGAACATGCCTCGAAAATAAAAAAAATACTTATTAATTCTTTTTTGCTTATGCAAATTTATTTGTGATTCAAAATAGAATTTCTTAACATTAACAGGTATTTAAATATCATAAATATACATATAATTCAACTAAAAATTTTACTTTCATTGCTTTTAATTTAAGTAAGTGAGAACCATTTAAATTTGGTGTAAGAAAAGTTCATTTTTCCTTGTCGCAGACGTCCCAGTTACCTTAATGGTGGTCGGCTGCTTATACATGTGTCAGCCAGTCGATTCTGAATGTTTTCTTTTGATACCCCGGATGCCTGAAAGGTGGTAAATGACGTCGAACCAATTTTAGCACAGTTGTTGGTGAGGACGTGGCCGCTCTTATGATTGCGTGATCATCTCGTGTATTTATGTTCCTGTGATGCCTTGACCCTTTGCGACGGTAAACTATCACTTTCGTGATCGATTGTTACCAACAACGAGCAACTATTCTGTCGCTCCGACCGAGGTGGCGGCCGATACGCTTGTTCGACCAATCTGCTTCTCTGAGGCCTACTATACGCCCTCTCTCAAAGTCCGGCAATTGTTCTTACTATCACCGGTTACATCACCGAAGCATCTCCAGTCATAATACTATCCATCCAAGTCAACAGATTTGTTTGAATAATCCTATGTAATGTAAATTAGATTAGAGTGAGTGAGTGAATGTGGGGTTTTTTGGCGCAAGCCAAATCTGGCTATACTGCGCCATAAATTAGATTAGAAGCGGGCGACAGCGCGCAGCGCTTTTAACCAAGATGGGTGAAAAAGATCAATCCATGTCGGAGATACAAAACAAATCAAG